ATTCCAGCTGGATTTAGTAGTTGATAACATGTGAATCCACTGATTTGTCTGGTATTGATTTGTTTCAAAAATACTCCAGTGAGTTGCAAAAGTTTCTCATGAAAGTATCACAGAGGAAGAGAATGTAAACCAAAGAGTAAAGTTTTCTACACAGTCCGTAAATTTATGTGAAGAAAACTTAGTTCTTCTATTTCTACCCTAAGTTCTGTGTAAGAAAAGCAGACATGGTGCACATGAAGCAAATGACCAAGAACTTGCACAAGGATTAGACAATCCTCATTTCCACAGAATGACTGGCTGCTAAAGCACTTAACACAAACTATTTATTAGTTGCCAAAGCAACCAGTAAAACAAATGGCAAAACTAAATGTCAAACTCAGTGTTTACATGGAAAATGATGGTGTGGGGGTTTTTCATTATGAAATGCTGTAACTGCTGTAGAGATATCACTAATGTAGTATAGTTAGTTCAGAGGGTTACAAATGTGCAAACATCCCCAGTCTGTCTTCCTTTTGTTTCTAGATTTTCAACTCCTATATATCACATACTCTACATCCAATAATTGGCCTCTTCTAATTAATTAAAATATATACTCTAAAAGTTTGTTATGAGCTAGCTCTCAAAGCTAAATGAACTTGGCAATATGGGCTGAATTTTACCCGAGTAACAAAGAAGAGATTATACCTGTTTCAGTTTAATTATTCCACATTCTTTGTATGATGGTAACAGAAAACCTCTGGTCTAATTATTTTCCCCTCAAGAATTACACCAAGACCTACTTGGGGGGAAAAAACAAAAAGGAAAAAAAAAAAGGGGGGGTAAGGGTCCCTCCCTGACTACTGCATAACAAATGATAATAAATGCCCCAAAATAAGGGCTACCCACAGCAGAGGCCTGGCTGTTGCTAAAATTGAATGCCAGGTGTTAATTTTAATGAAGGGGTTCATTAAAAATCACAGAATTGTTATGACCAGTCTTTGAGTCACTTAGTATTAGATGAAATTTTCTGGATATGGTAATTATTTTACCATTATTTGAACTTTTTATATTGTTTTTCAAGATAGAGTAAATATGCTCTATTTCAGAGAATGAGTGAACCACTTTGTATGTTCTGCTTAGTACTGCACCCTGAACTTTTCCAAATAACATGATGAAAAAGAGTATGCATAACAGAACATTTCTCTACTGAGCTACACTTGGTGTGCAAATTCTGAGGAATTTCAGTTGCTTAGAAGGCTTACATTTACCATATATTGCATTAAATCTTTTCCTTTGTTCTGGGAAATTCTATTGATTTATACCTTCCAAAACAACCTAACAGCCATACCATAAATGACAAGCACCTTTCAGCTAACACTGCAGGAACAGAGATGTCTTTTACAGCTAATTCAACTAGAAACTGTGAACAGTTAGCATACTATAAGCTCTCCAGCTACATTCTCTCTCTCTCTCTCAAACCACAGCAAGGCAGAATGAACAGACTTAAGCTGCTGCCAAGGAAGTTGTGTGAATCACATGGTTCCCGAAAGCATTCAACTTAACTGCTTAAAGCTCTTTCTTAAATGATACTTGTGAGGGACAAGAATCTGCAGCATTATGGAAGACATTAAATCTTCCGTTGAAAGCACTATTCACAATTATATATGCATTTTATAATTAAATGTGGCCCTTTTAGCCACTAATATACAAAACATAGCTTGTTGTGAGACAGTCACTTTAATCAGATGCCTGCCTCCTGTTTGAATTTACTGGAAAACTAGTTGGCAAAAGAAGTGGAAAATGGACACATGGTTTTCTCCAGCACTTTGTAAATAGGAATGCTGCAGGACTTAACTGAAAAAAAGAAACCCACAATGTCTCTGGCTACAGTAAACTGTTAATATTTTTTTGAAAGAGAGAAAACTGGGTGGAAGATAAATTTGGAGTGCTGGCAAGTAAAATCAATTTCCATCATCAACACATGCAATTATATTTTAGAACACAAAGATGACACTATTCCCTGCACTTAATCCGATCATAGGCTTTGGACTTATTACCAATGATATTGAACTTTTTTTCTGTCTCTGGAAACACATGCTGATCTCTAAGGAGGCAGCATGTCACAGGCAAAACTCAACTAGCCTATTGCTATTAGTAATGTATTAACCTTTGTACTATCGAGGCAGCTGAACTGATTACTGGCCTTATGGGCTAAGAACCTTCAACTTTAAACCACTATTATCAAACTCCCATGCCTTAAACCATTAACTGGAACATTAAACTACTGCCCAAAGTATTTTGAGATCATCCATTATCATTGTAGCCTGCCACCTGCAAAGGACTTACTTATGGCATACAATGTCCAAAGTGAAATTAATTTCAAGGTATAATTTGAATCCAAATAAAATTGACAGCAATACCTGTAAATGTGCTATTTTTAATTCTCCATGTTCAAATATTGCATTACTAATATTTGAGTATTTTTGTTCAGAATTACTCAAAACGAACATATGGCAATACTCCTATTTAATAATGTTGTGAAATAAACAATAAATTAATGCCTTCATGGTTAGTTAGATTTCAATTTTAATTCATGCTAACTTACTTAATAAACCTTCTCCTTTCAGTAAAATATATTTTCAGTAAAATGTACTCGATTCCATTTAGTAGCATTTCTCCAGTCACACAGGTGCAGCTCACTGAAAAATTCCTGTGGGTATTACAAAATGCCGATGGCATTCATTGTCTAACTGGCAGTAAGTGAGAACTCTCTAGCTGAGCAAGAAATAAATACAGTAGTCCACAAAAGGGTCAAGCTTTCGAAGGAAATACTAACAGAAGAATGGAGCAATAGGAATGACTCAGCACTTGGTTTCTAGTCATCACATTAATTCTCACTCTGAGTAAAACAACCTTAGAAGCACTTAAGGGCACTGCAGATTCAGAAGGGAGAATTCACCCTCTCCTAATACTACCAGATACTATAGGATCCCATATTCAATGAAGTAGGTACTGCTGAACATTGTCCCAATCAATTTTTGTGGACTCCAGCTGAGCTCACTGCAGTATCATGCAGTATTCCTTACCTAGATCAGACAAGTTCAAAATTCTTGTTTCCAACTTTGGAACTGTATTTTTAATTGCCTTCCATTAGAGTTCTAATAAGGTCTCAGCCCTTGATTAAGACTTACAGAGTACTGGTGATGATCACATGCCATGCTGCTAGGACTGAAATTATATTCCATAATCATACAAATGAAGTGTTAACATCAAAGTTCAAGAGTTGAGCATGCAGACGTGAGTACTACAAAGCAAAAGTCAGAGAACAAAAAGAGTTTATTTGTCTGCTTTATAAATGTAAGAAAGATGTAATCAAATGAGAGGCAATGACTTTGTTTCAAGTCTCTAGTATGAAAAATCAAATCCTCACAAAAGCAAAAGAAAATGTGCCATGATGTGGTGGGTTGACTTTCATGGGCTGTCAGTACTGCCCAGCCTTCACAGGACAAGGTGAAAAAAATAAGATACGAAACCTTTGTAGGCTGAGATAAAGGCAAATTAATTTTTAAAAGCACTGTGTGCAGAAGAAAAAGAAATCACAAGAAAAATTTATCATCTACTTCCCATCAGAGGGCAATAAGAAGCCACAGCCTAACCCAAGCATTGTAGCACGTGCTTAGGAAGATAAACACCTTAATAATAAATACCTCACTCCCCCCTTTCTCTTAGCTTTTATTGATGAGTGTGTCATATGGTATAGAATATCTCTTTTGGCAGCTTTAATCAGCTGTCCTGGCTATACCCTCCCAACTTCTTGCCCATTCCCAGCCCACTGGCCTTTTTGGCAGGGCGTTGGGTTTGGAGAGATAGCCTTGATGCAGTGGGCACTGCTTAGCAGAAGCCTGGTAACTTATCAACACCTTTCCAGACACAGATACCGAGAACAACACTGTGATGGCTCCTGTGGGGAAGTTAACTTCCAAATGCATTTCTGTATGAAGAAAGTGTTCATTACGAACTACTTTTGAACTCATCTAATAAAAACCCAAAATATCCTGTGAACTATTCCTTTATGCAGCAATTAATAATACTGAGCATTAAGCAGGGAAAGGAAAAGCACCTTCTTAAAGAAACTGAAGACCAGGCCAAATGTTTATCTAACTCTGGGAATAGCAATCACAATACTAGGACCAACAAGAGGTTCCCTATAAACAACTGGTCATTTGACAGCAGCCAACATGAAGAGCTGGGAGGCAGAGGAAAAACACGTGGGCCTTTTCCTTATTTTATATTTAGCGTCTTCCTTTTTCTTTCTCTCATTTACTTTGCCTTTCATTGGTGAGAAGAAAAGACATTTTGAATGCCAATTAAATAAATGCATGTCAGCTGTGGTCTGGACTCCTTGGGGTTTTTACATTCACACAGGTTTTTTTACATAATGAAACAGAAAATTGGCTATTCAGGTTCAAGAGATTAAAACAGAACAGCTTTTGAGTTAATAGCTCATATAGCAGGAAGTACATTTCACATAGCCTGATGTTAGTTTAGTCTGGTCATAGCAATAAACAGCAGATTAGCTTTTGTCAACTTATGGATAGTACTCCAGTTTTCCAGATATTTCTAGAAGCTATTGTTGCTACAAATCTTTTGTCCTCCTGCTGTCCACAGTGAAATTGTCTCAAATGTATGTGATCACACACAAACCTGAGGAAAGAATTTCCTGTGTTATTCACTGCACTGTTTTTTTTTTTTTCATTGCAAGAGGGCTCTTTTTTCTTCACTTATTAAATAATGATGAAAACACAAGCATTTGTAAAAAAATCCCATATTCTGACACCTGTTCCAACACTAGCAAACACTCTGTGACATCCCTTAAACTGCAACTGCTTTCATACAAGTCAGCAATCTTTCTTGTTGACTCATGCTACTGATGAACCTTTGGGTTTTCCTATATACTTCAGTAGAAGATTTCTGTAATTAAAATTATTTCCTTACTCAAATTTTCAAATGATGTTTTATACCTGCAAGATCTTCTTTGGAGGAAACCAGTCGAGGAGAGCTGTTACCTGGCTCAATTCTTAAAGATAATCTGGAAAAACAAGTTTTTAGAGAAATTAACAAAAAAAAAATTCTCAATAAAAGTTGAAAGAAATTGAAGACGTAATTATTTCGGCAGTGCTAACTAGCATTTTACTGTCTTGGAAGTGTAGTTATTTATTCTGTGATGTAACAAAACAATTTTTTTTTAAAGTAAATCACTACGTGTAAGAACAAGAAAGAAACTCTGAGGAAAGTCTATGAAAGCAGAAGGAGAAATCATTATTTAATCCTCCCTCTCAGTTCAAAAACATAAGTTCATCCAGTCTTTTGCCTTGGGAAAAAAACCTCAAAAAGTTAGTAATTTGTATACAAACCTAACATTTTATTCCCTCTAAACATGAAAGCAAATTTCCTGTTACCATGTCAAAATGTGCACACAGAAATATCTATTTTGTTACTGTGAATTACAGAAAAGAAGCTTAATAGAGCAAAGTGACCAACACCTTATAGTAAAAGAAAGTGATTAGAAGAAAGTATTATATGCCACGCTGCCTCACTCCATGTGTTTTATTATGTACTCACTCTTGTGCTCTCAGCATTCCAACAAATCTCAATCTCCCAATGCACATCACTTCTGCCATTTCTCAAGTTTAGGCAGTCTTAACTAGATATTCATGGGTCCTTTGCTCTGTACCAGTCTGACAAAAAGGTATGGAGGACTACAATGTTAAGTAAACTTTAATGGACTAGGCATAAATCCAAAGAAAATAACTGCTGTCATTGCCCAGCAGTGAACACACACGAAAGCTGGAAAGCTTCAGCACCTTGCTGTGCACCCCAAGGAAAGGCTTTCTGACTTCATTAAAAACATGCAAAGTGGTGGAGGGAGAAACCTATGGCAGCATTTCAAAATATCATGTATGGCTCAGCCATCACTTTCCTTACTACTCTTTATTGGGAATACCTTTCAGTTCCTTCTCTACAATATTCCAACATTGTCAACTATGTTTTAGTGTGAAGTCAGGTAACAAAGCTACAGTCCTTTTCATGTTTTTGAATTTTTATTCTTCTGACAGTACTAGATTCTTTTAACTACCCAAAGTAATGTATTTCAAGTAGGTAATGAATCATTCCTTTCCAGACTACTTTTCTTTCTGTCCACTTGATTTCTGTGACCAGGAATCAGTAAACATAACTCTCCTAGAAAGTTACAATAATACAAGTCAGTGCAAGATTCAAATGTTGATCACATGGGAATTTCTTTCAGTATGGAAAAAAGACAAAAGAACTTAATGAAGTCCTTAATGAAGACTTAAGGCAAGTGCATTCTTACACCTTCTTTAGTGACAAAAGTGAGATCAACTTCCATGCAACTACTTGCACTACATTATTTCTCTCTCTTTCTGCCTAAAATTATTCTTGTGAGGAAGAAAAGAGGAACATAACAGCAGGAAGAAAAACCTGACGCCTTTATGTTTTTAACAAGGTTTTAGGAAGAGCTATGCTATGATTACACCATTTAGAAAGCATGTGTGTTTTGTGCTGCACTTCTGTGTTGGAATTCACCAACAGAGCAACAAATGAGTCTCCAGTGCTATCAAATAAGATTACATCACTCTCCGCTGGTCATCTCCCCAGAATATGGGAAGCTAGATAATGTTGGTTATCTGTTTGGTTATGTTAAACTGCACTCTGAATCAGCTCTTTCTAAGTCTCTGACAGTTTGGACATTAACTTCCATGATGCCAGAATTCTGCAATGTTTCCAGAAAAACTAGAATGCAATTTATCTGTTTTCAACTTATGAAAATACAGATGTATTAAAAGAAGAACAAATAAATGCAAGCCTAAATGTATTTTGGTAAATATAAAATACTCATGCTGACATGTTATATTTAAAATAAACTGTTGAGAAAAGGGAATATACTCTGACAACGAGATGTCATTCCTGAGTCACCTTCTCCTCTATTCCCCCTCTCCTCCACAAGGCTGGAAGCAATCAAAAACATTCTTTATTTCCAAGAAGAGATACTGACAGTCAGTACAGTTTCAATCAGTCCTGGCTTGTTTGCCACCACCTAAATTCAATTTTGCAATTCCTCTGACACTCCATTTTCCATGGAGCAGCACAAGTTCCACACATGCACACACATGCTCAGCGTATCCCAAAGAGGACCCTGGAGCCAGAATCTGGTGTGGCCCCTGAGAGGCTTAGTGTGATACTTGCAATAGATCAGTGCATACTTTGAGACCTGATGTGCTTACCGCCAACATGCATCATCCATATCCACAAACACCTAACGACACTCTCACAGCTGACTGTTCAATGTCAATCACTAGCATTACTTTAAATAAAAAACTACCTTGGTTCCAGCGTGCCTAATAAACCACTCATAAGGCATAAAGACACTCTGTTTTGTGTTGGCCCCTGTGTAACATCAGAAATTCATCTCAGAAGTCACTATTCTGTGATATTCATCCAATATCACAGTAGTATTAGGATTTTTTTTGTTTGTTTCAGGAATCCTTTTCAAAAAACAAATCTTTGTTTTACCATGGTAAGAAAGCCTAGTTTTAGTGCATGGTCTAAATGCTGACATACAAAATTTCAACATTCCAAAATTATACTGCAAGAGTTCAGCTAAGAGACACATCAGGATAAATCCTAGATATCAGCCTTAGAAACTGCCCACAAAAACCTAAACTTCAAAACTGAGGAGTTAGTATTAATAATCTTAGGTCAAACAAAAATTGAAAGTAAAATCTCTAGGAAAAAAAAACAGCATAGAGATTTGCTGAATTAACAAATACCAATCTACCAATCTACCATTGGAAATTAAGACAAAGCTTCTACAGGAACAGGTGCAGAAGAGTATGTGAAGGCTTTGTTCTTGGATTGTAGAAAGATGACTGAACAATTTTTGGTTTTTTTAAGCCTGATACTCAAAATATTTTCTGGAACATGTTAGGGCAGGTATGCTCTGGAAAGTAAGATGGATGGACCTCTATTTCAACCTAGTTTTAAATAACCCTCTGCTACTGGGCCATACAGCTCATTTTAGAGTAACCTTCCTAGCAAGCAGGAAAAGAGGAAACTAACATAATGCAGAAAATGAAATAGAGAGTCAGTCTTGAACATAGTTCATACTCTCCAGTACAGGACGGAACTATTGCTAGGACAGTACAGCCACTGTTACTCAATTTTTCTTGTATCAAGCAAGTAAATTAAGACAAAGAATAGTCTTTCACAGAAGTTTAGCTGCTCCATGAGGAGGCTGAACAAAACTTAATAATCTTTGTTGAAACAAGGATGATATTAGTTGCATCAAAGCACTCCAGTCCTCAAAGCTGTCCCTTAAGGCACTTCTGACCATTATTTGCATACCAAACAAGACGGGTCTGGCATATCTGGAACATTCTGGGCTGCCTGCCTAGCATTTAAACAGCAGGTCCTATGACAGTAGGTCAAGCAACAGTAGGTTCCTGGGACCTTCTGCTGGAAGGATACTGTCCCCCAGTATCCCCCAATATTCTCCTGCTGCTGGAGAGGCTGCAGCCCAAGGCTTGGACAGGTGCACTCTTCACTGGGATGTGAAGTTGGATGACTTGGACCCAGAGAGTGGTAGGGAATGGTGCCACATCCAGTTGGGGCCAGTCCCTAATGGCGGTTCCCCACGGCTCAGTCTTGCGCACAGTCCTATTTAATATCATTGTTGATGATCTGGACAAGAAGATCGAGTGCACTCTTGGTAAGATCAGTAAGCTGGGTGAGAGTGTTGATGTGCTGGAGGGTAGGAATGCTCTGCAGAAGGATCTGGACAGGCTGGATTCATGGGCTGAGATCAGTGATGTGAGGTTCAACAAGACAAAGTCCTGGTTCCTGCAATTCAGTTACAACAACCCCATGCATTGCTACAGGATGGGAAAGAGTGGCTGGAGAGTGGTCCAGGAGAAAGGGACCTAGGGGTGCTGGTCAACAACAGCTGAGCATAAGCTCGCGTATGCCCAGGTGGGCAAGAAGGCCAGTGGCATCCTGGCCTGTATCAAAGGTACTGCGGCCAGCAGGACCAGGGAAGTGATTCTCCCTCTGTACTGGTGAGGCCAAAACTTGAATCCTGGATTCAGTTCTGGGAGCCTTACCACAGGAAAGACATTGATGTACTGGAGCATGACCACAGAAGGGCAACAAAGCTGTAAAAGGACCCAAAAGATTCTGCAGACTCTGCAATTCTCTGACTGGAGGGTATAGCCAGCTGGGGAGCAACCAGCAACAGGCCTAGGGGGAACAATCACAACCTGTGCCAGGGGAGGTTCAGGTTGGACATCAGGGAGAATTTTGTCACACAGAGGGTTGTCAGGCATTGGGAAAGGGCTGACCAGGGAGGTAGTGAAATCATCATCCCTGGAGCTGTTCAAGAAACAATCGGATGTGGCACTCAGTTTACCTAGTCTAGTTGACAAGGTGGTGATCGGTCAAAGGTTGAACTTGATGATCTTGGAGGTCTTTTCCAACCTTAGTGATTCCATGCTTCTATGATTCTATTTTTGTGTCCTGTGGAAGAGGCAGTCAAGCCACAATTACAGCTACTGAACCATATGGCCACCGGATCACTATGAATCTCAGACTAACAATGAAGGTTTTTTTCCACCCCGCCTTTCACCACAACTCTTGGTGGAAAAGATCCAGGGAATACAGCTGCCTGGGAGGCTTATTGAAGACGAACTGCAACCAAGGTTCACTGCTGCAAGTACTAATTTAAGTACTACTACTCCCTTGAAGTACTAAGCATCTGCCATTTAATACCTGCTCCCATAGGACTGGAACTAACACGGTACAGCTAGGACTTCTATAGCACCAGCATTGCTAGGAGTCAGTATAGCCTTTTAACTGCCAATCAATTTCTCTTGAATGTTTTCCCACAGCATCTTGCCTTATCTGAACCTAAATTTGAACTGATTTTTCTGTAAGTCATCTTATTACTCTATTGCCTAATATGCTCTGAAGAACCAAGTTATAGGCATAGGTAGCAGCCTGATGGTCCTGTCCTGTCCCGACAGATAATACTGAAACACAAATAACAGTCTTCAAACTGGTTTCACTCAAGAAACAACTGTGAGAATACAAGGCCTGACCTAACAATGCCAAAAGGTCAGAAAAAAAAATTTATAGGAATGGCTGCAAGGTATGTCTGGTTAGGAGAGGATAAGGCATTGCGCCACAATGCTACATACTGCTAAAACTGAGCAGCTTCTGCAGAAAACAGTATATGGGCTGACCAAGAAAGATCTGTTATTTTTAGGATATGACATCATTGTCAGGGGTTTTCGGGAGCATTCCTACTTGCTGACAAGCACAAACCTAAAGGAAGCAATTGGACTGGCACAAAAAAATTGTAGCGAAAAGCTTTGTTTATATAAAGTGGCTGCCATATTTTCCTTGCCAGTGTAATTGAGGTTTTCATTTGGCAAAACACATGTTGAGATTCTGCCAATATGTTTTAGGACAACTGTCTAAGTGTCTCTTCCTGACAGCCTGGTACTGAGATAGTTCTGTTCTTCATGCCAAAGGTGACACACATTTCTCTGCATTAGAGCCCTAATGCTGTCCCTGGCTCAAAAAGAGCAGTCACTGCAAAGAAAAAACAGAAGAGATTCTTACCCACTCTAAAAGCTTAGTACTCTCTGCATTTTTAAAGCTTACATTTTCTTCTGGCATGGGACCAGAAAATGCTATGAAACTAAAGGGAAACTGACTGAGAGGAAAATGTGAAATCAAATACTTAAAACAAAATCCAAAAACTTCTTACCTAGTGTAAAATGGAAGAGGAATGAGAGTTTTCTTTAAGGGTAGAAGTGATGTGCTTTGATGAATTAATTAAATTAATTTTATTAATTAGTTATATTTAATTAGTTATATTAATTAATTAGTTTTATTCTGATGAAACAAACATGGTAGAGAAAGATCAAAGTTCTCCAATGTATATAAGCTGTAGCAACTTTCCTGTGGTAAGAATCAAATCTTTCCCTCTTTTTAATACCTTTTGTGACTTTACTCCAGTTTTTCCTTGCCACAGTGAAGCCTGGAAAGAAAACCGCTAAACTTGATTGTATTAATCTCACAAATAACTAAATTTTAAAAATTAAGGATTACATGATCTTTAAGATATATCAAATGCCTTCAAGCATTATTAGCAAACTTGCTACTAAATTTACATTAATATTCAAATTTAAAATAGAATTACTTCTAGTTTTTACAAATATTATATTATGGTGTCATATGTTTATGGAAAACACTTGTTTAATTCATTCTTTCGGAAATAGTACAGTTCATGAAAGATGTTGCATACATGGGGTTAACACTGATGCATCATCAGGAAACTCCATCTAAAAATCAAATTTAACAATATGAACAGTTTCTTTAATCCAATCCAGGGGTTGTAAAGCCTCTACTAACTACAGTTCTTCACCTTTGCCAATGACTGCTTAGTTTAATTTTTCTCTGTCTTCACAACTTGAATGAAGCACAGAAGCGTGTGCAACATTAGTAAAGAAAGACCATTTGTTAAATTTCAACACTGAGGTTTAAATCTCAGACTACCCTTAATAAAAGTCTTGGACCTCTTGACCTTTTCAAAGACTCTGCGCACTGCTCATGGTCAGTGTGCATCTCTTGCACAATGCGTCTGTGAGTGAAACATATACAATGTCATGGGACTGAGTAAAGGAATTTACACATTCCTTTGCACCATCATTTACTTAGACCCTCATGGATGGCCAGAACTGCATACAATGCTCCATGTAAGCTCTCACCAGCTTCTTCTGAAGCAGTATAAACAACTCTATTTTTTCATAGAAACACTATATTTGATAGGCAGTAGGGATGAATTAGTCAAGTGCTGTATCTCACTTGTGACAGCTATCTACTGATCAACACCTATAAACTAGTGTTAGAATAATTATATAACATTCCAGGGTTTGTGGCACTATTATTTTAGCCATCAGATTGTTTCTTTGTGGTATCCAAACCACATTCTATTTCAATGAACCCTTCCATCACTGTCTTATTAGCATATGGTCTAAGTACACATAAATTCTGAGACAAAATTCTTAACTGAAGTATTTAACAAAACTGGTAACAAGACCGGTTTTAAGGAAGTTCATTACCACCCTGCTCTCTAAAACATATGCTAAAATATTTTATACTACCATTGTATGACTGAACATATGTTTGCTTTGAATACTTCAAATTCTGCTTAAATAGTTACTCTATTTGTCAACAGCTAATTGTATAGCATTGCATCTAGCTTGGTTGAGCTATTTAAAACCTCAGTTCCTTAGTCTATGACAACTTTCTAGTTCTCTCAGAATTACTGGCCAGGGATTATCACTTTTAACTAGAGCATGTTCACATATTGACCAATGACCTCTCTGGCACCTGCTTCAAACCTCTGTGTGGGTTAACTCTTCTCTGGGTCCTTTGTAAACATTGTTTTAATATGCTTAAACCCCCAAAACTTAGTATTAACTTACTAAAAACAATAACTTGACATTGGTAGATGTCCTCAATGTATTATTCATAATACTATAGAGTCAATGCTGGACATCTTGGAGATAACTTTAGTATTACTGAACAAAATTCCCAGAACACAATCATCAATTAATAGAATAAAGACTAGATTTTCATCTACTCTAAACTGTTACTTTGCACTAGTACATTTCACTTTGTAAATTTGCTTATAGTCATAAAGAAAGACAGTAACTCTGGATTTTACTTAGCAGAAACACCTTAAAACATCTTCAGCCAAGGGCTTTTTGCTCAGTTCTTAATAAAACTAATGACTAAGTAATCTGTCTGTTACATTTCTCAATGCCTGAAGAAAAGAACAGTACTTACTTGTAATTGTCATCTTCTACAAACTTCTGAAGTTCCTCAATGTAACGGACAGACTTCAAATACTTTTGCACATGGGGAAGTGTTGTGAGATAATCTGTGGGATGTTCAAACAAACAAAAACCATTAACATTTCTGTCATTCAGAATTATAATTTTTTCAGGTGATTTCTTTTTCTTGATCTTATGATACCTTCATGGAAACAGAATTTGAACATCCCTAAAAAGTAAATTGGGCAGAACTAATACTTTGACCCTAAAAAGGTGTTTAAGACTTGACTGAGCAAAAGTGATGCTCTCAGTTGTTAAAGAAAATACAGATGCATTTCATCATCATGAAAGCTGGTGGATTTCATTAGATGCTATCTCACTGGTGGAAAAAAATTTTCTGCTGCAAAACTGCTTGAATTTTTTGTTCATTGTTCTAGGGAAAATCAAAGCCTTTAGCCATAGGTATTAGTGGTTCCCATATGTTCATGAACTGAGGAGAATGAAAGACACTAAGTTCAGAATGACAGAAAAACCTCTTGACACATGGTGCATGGACAGGAACATGCCTTGTAGTACATAACTAAAGTTTTGCGGTCTTGTAAAGGTAACTGTTTTAAAGGCATCCATTATGCCAGAATATTGTTTCAAGGCCGTATTTTAATTTTCATCTTAATTTTAACAAAGGACTCAAAGGTAATGCAAAGCACTGCAGCAAGCTACCAAAATTGTAAAACGGAAAGGGTCAATGAAATAAGGAGGTTTCTTTGTCATCCAAAATTTTCAGAGACAATATGAAACTCACAATAAGAAAATGGTACCTGAATGATCTAGCTGTTCAGAATCATACGTAATCATGCCTAGTTCCTACCTTTAAATACTTTGAAATACCGAAGTTGACAAAAAAGGGCTGGATACTTAAGCATACACAGTTAACATCTCACCTTGTTTTTTCACAATGTAACAATCCTTTTTCTTTAAGCTCTCCAAAACTTCAGCTTTTAAATTTTCTGCATTTTATTGTTTAGCTGCACTCAAGGCTTTTCAGCTTGTTTCAAGTTTAACCAATGAAAAGTCGTGCTAAGTCACCAAGAGTACACTGAGTATTCACTAAGACACCAAAATCAGCACATTTATTGATATACAGCTTCACTAGCAGGCTAGAACTGCAGAAATTATTTTTAGAGTAAAATTCTGTTAACAAAAAGAAACAACCCCTCCTTTTCCTGACTTCATCCAGTAGCAACACACGCACAAAAGCTTACCACATTGAACAACCAAGTGTAGACTGAAATATTTGTATTTCATTTTGTAAATATATCACCAGGATGCTAACAACAAAATGATAACCAAATGAACACATTCCACACTCTAGACATCGTATCTACTGCAAAGTAAAGGGAAGATATTAAGATAATCTCTCTGATTGCCCTGGTGGAAACAGTATATAAGCCAAAGGCAATAGCTGCACTTGGAAGTATGTCATTTGTACCCCACATGTAACAGTGAACTGTACACAACCTCTGTTATAGCTCTTACAATTTTGAATACATGCTTATCTGCCCAATTTGCTGGTAAGACTGAAGCTACACAGAAGTGGAAGCTACATCACTTACTAGTGTTCAACTCTACCAACATTAGCCTCTTGCGTTCCCTCAGAATCTGCTTCCACAATTTCACACTAAAGAAATTTTAGTTAAGGCTTGATAGGCATAACAATATTTACCAACCATAGTTGCAGGATACTTGCAGATCAGCTATTATTCGGAGAATATTGTTCATTTGATTGGATCTTTGTTCATTCTCCATTATGCTGTCTGAAGCAGGATATGCAGAATCTATGTAGATTAAATCCAAGAGATAAATTCCTGAAACAAACAAATCAATCAACCAATTGATCTAGTGTTTCAAACAGAAACAGTTGCATAATTTTTAATGAACATAGCATCCAGAAGCTGTTTACCCCCCCTGTGCTCTGGGCCCATTAAACAAAGGAGATCTTGGGATTTGCATTTTGAAAATTTCCATAATTACTGCTTGAGTTCCATGAGTTCCCTTAAAAAGAAAAGCTTTTTAGCACTTAGGCTACTGCCTACTATGAGCAATTTGCAGGACCATAAAAAGGACACTAAGAAAAGAATGAGAGCTGCCCCAGGCAGTGGTGCTGACAGTGGGGGGACACAGTGCTGCTGGCTCCCATGACCAGAGACCACTGCAATACCTCCTTTGTCTGCCACCAGTGGGGAAGAGCTCCATTAACTTTTCTGCCCTGAGACTTAGGAATACTTTCTGGAAATCCTTTGCAAGTCTTTTTCTCACTCAAGCTGAGCTCGCCACACATCTGTTTCCTCAGATCTCTACCATCTTGACCGTACGTTGCTCATTGGATCACACTGTGTTAGGTCCAGCATTAGCCAGGTTGCAATACCTAATTTCTTTAGGTTTATACCTTATTCATTCATGCATTCTGAAAAAGCCTTACACTGCTTAGGGAGGAATGAATGAAGAAACCACATGACCTGTTATTGAAAACTGAAGAGACAGACAAAGAGGCGACAACAAGCCAGAACAAATTCAGTTTGTTATGAACTGTTTAATGCTTTGCCTGGAAAGCATAAGGCCATAACTGTCTCTCAAGTGCGCAGCAATCTGTGAATTTGGACTATGAAAGAACCATATATGCCCATTAGACCCACTGACATGATAAATACGAGAGTGCTCCAGAGACCAAAGGTAATTTAATAATCCCACCAAAACCAAAAGGGACATTTAGACCTTGTAAATGAGTGGAAGAGAGCTGGATTAACAACTGAACAACATACAAACCATGGGAATTTCCAGTCATGCTGGAGTTTAAACAAAGAAAAAGATGCTTAGAAATCAGGTCAAGTTTTATAGTCTAGTTTAACTTTCTGCAATGACACAGATAATTTTCATCCCATATTAAAAATCCTCTCTTGAAGAAATATATCTCTTTTTTAATATATTTATTTATATAGCTATATAATTATTTTGTATGTTTTATATATAATCATATTTATATATTTTTATCTATCTCATAAATATAAGTACAGTTTATAAACCAGAGGTTCATATGACTCTGACTACCTTAACAGTTTTATCTTAACAGTAACCTGCAGTATTTATTGCTTTCTCCCAAACAGTATCTTCTAAAAACCGTTCTCAACTTATCTTCATTTCTCTCTCTACACATTTCTACCTCTAGAAAGACAGAATGATGTATAATCAAAAGTTATTAATGTTTTGAATTATTGTTTGCTTCCTTTTCTTAAAACAAAACAAAACAAAAACCCCTCTGTTTTTGTAATTTATATTAGTAGTTGGTAGTTTTAGACCTACTGATAAAGTATGCCAATGTGATTCTACTTCTTAGCTACAGTAATTCTTCAAGCCAAAGGATGAGTTTAAAGGAAGAGGGAGTAATTGGGGTTTGCTTTCCTAGATTATAAAAATACATACAAAAAGCAGAGAGGCAAAAAGGAAAAAAGTATGACTTTATGTGATTAGAAGACAATTTTGTGCAAGTTTGTGAAGGGCAGCAATACCTACTCTTTGTTTGTCCTTTTCCACTCTTGTGAAGATAAGCTATTAATCATACCAGTTTATTTTATCTCATACTAAATTTCACTTATCATACCAGAGAAATATAAACAGCACTTTTGTCCTGCTTTGTTTCCACGTCTCAGTCTTACTTAGCTTTAAAAGAGGGAAAACCAAACGCAATTATTATTTTCACCTTTTCTGAACTTTATCTGAACAAGGGTTTCAACCACACTGGGAACTGCTTCGGCCATCATCCCACACACTCGAGAGACCCTAACACCTCCACAAGGCCAGCACAGACCAGGCACCCTATACCTCAGAATGAGGGAAGAACTCCAATTTCCTTAATATTAGAGTGGCTCTGTAGCAGTTAAGCATTGAGCAAATCCTGAGTCCCCAAGGTTTTGCAATGACCTAGAGGTCATACCTAGACTGAGGTTCCATACAGCAGCTCTTCACTGTCCTCTCCTGTCCAGTGGCACATCAAAATGTAGTTAGAGTTATGACTGTAAAGTTTCTGTTTGCTCATAGCCTCTCCACTGCAACATGCCTTATGGCAGCCTGGGTCAAGGCCACTTTCCAGCTATTTTGAGGAAGTCTGTAGCTTCTCATTGATATTAAAGACATAAACACATTTCCACTCTGCAGTAGTGGTTGTAAGCATTTTTTCAGGACAAAGAATCTATTTTCCAGGACAACATACAGATGAGGACCAACAAGGTATACAAGCACCAAAAAGGATGAAAGGTGTTAGCCTAGGCCCTGCAAATTCTAAATAAAAGTGTAAGGAAATGGGCTTTTGGTAGGTAGTGGGGTGCAGGAAGAAAAAACCCAAACTGACAGATGTAAAAAAAAATTAAACTGATTGTAACATGCTAGAATATAAAAGAACACATTTTTTGTAATTACACGCCAAGCCACCCCTTTCCCATATTGCTCCCCTCCCTCTCTTCCTTTAAAGCAAGAAGGATAATCAAGTTTTATGATTTTTTTTTAATCTTGGCAGTGATATTTTAAACTCTTCTATATATCTGATGCAATCGTAGGCATAGATAAGAATCAGTTCATTTTGCACAGAGGAATGACAAAATAATTCCCTTCAGCAAAAGACTTCAAGACTCGTTTCTCAAAGGAAAGCCTCAGGGCTGCCCCATGCCAAAGCAAACACACAGCACTAACTTTTCAAACTTTGGCTCACATTTGTGCTACTGTGCACTGAAAAAAGCTAGGATGTGAGGCCACCAGGATATTTTCCAGAGAGTGAGCTCATGGGCAGCTTCTTCCACAGGCAAGTATCATTTTCCAGTGATACTCACTTTTCTCCATTGTCACCAGAACTAATTTTGCAGCTGGATATTGTATGCAGACAACAGTGTTCATTAGTTTATGGTCCCATGGAAGTAACAACACATGCTAAGGAAAGCAAAGCCAAATAATCCAGGACTACATTTATTAATGAAAATCCCTTTGTGTAACAGGGACAAATTATTTTTAAGCTGGTAAAAGAAAACCAAACCTGAGATACCAAGCTTTTAAACTTCTACTGGAGAGTTCAAACAAAGAAGTAATATTAGTAACAGTTTAAAGACAGGAAAACATTATTATGGCAAAAAAGTGAACTTCAAATGTAGCAGTCAATGCCACATTTTGAGTCCTCCACCCACCAGACAACAATTTCCAAGGCTAGATTTTATTGAAAAAATATTTATGGAGAACTGCAGTGTTCACCAGGATGCAAACCCAAGTCTGTATACTTGTGTCTTGATTTACAGTTAAGCTTCTCCTATTATTTTCTTTATTCAATACTCAAAGCTTCTGAGAAAGTAGCACTGGGACAGATAATAAATAAGCATACTTTGGAGTTGATGGGTACTAACAAAGAGGTCTTCAGAAAAATACTGCCAAGCCCTCAAAAAACGAATGGTTATTCAGCTTCACTCAGTTCTGAAGAACCTGAACTGGAGCATGTAAGCTTTAAAATGTTCATGAACAACTACAGTATGCAATTTGACCCTCATTAAGAAAGATGGATATAGCATGCTATGAAAGACAAAACACTTTCAGTCAAGTAAATAATGTACAAATTTATACTAATGAGAAAAGCTGGGCAGGTATTACTTTAAATAGCAGTAACAGAAACAAAGAGGAATCTGGTTTTTTTTTGGCATATTCCTCCAAGTTAGAAAGCCTGGGTTCAAGCTTTCTGCTATGCCACAGATTTCTTTTACCTGAGCAGCAACATTTATTCCTAACAATTCAGAATTTGGGGGGTTTATGACAATTTGCAGGCACGAGGTGTAATCCAAAACTTGCAGCACCTAAAATTGTTTCACAAATATACACTGTTGCAAAACCAATCATAAAAAACATCTGCACAGATAAAGACTGAAAACTTGCATCATTATCAACTGCGTCTTTTTTACTTTTTAATTTTTTAAACTTTTTTAATAATGACTATAAAACAATACTGAAAAATAGTACGGCCAACAAACAAAAAATTAGGTGGTTAAACCACTCCACTACTGCATATTTTCATGCATAGTGGTCTGTTAAGGGTCTGTGCAATTCTGCAAATGCAAGTAAGCTAGGAAACAGCTGATGTATGATATTTTTGTCAGTCAGACATTCCCTACTTTGCAACAAAAAATAATCAGCTGATAGAGAAGTATTTCACACAAGCCTGGGGACTTCAATTTATTATTCTTAGGTAACATTTTGATCATGTACTATAATAAATATCACAGTTATTTGGTAAATTGTACTGTTACTGTGAACAAACACATGGTGTAAAAGGAGGTAAAAAAAACCCTTAAATGTTTTAATGAACAGTTTAGTTCCCTACTTACAATCATGTACACTTCTAAATATTCACAGCCCCTGAATGCACATATGCTGGTGTGTAACACAGATGTCTGGGCATAGAGCATTCCTTCAGCACAGGAAGCAGAGTCTGCAAGACACACAGTACCTGGCACACATAAAGTAAGAGAATCTGTGGAAAGTAATTATTTTCCATTTTTGCTCCTCACGAATTGAATAACGACACTGGTTTGACAGGAGGACCAGAAGAGACAAGGATATATTTCCAATTTGTAGTCAAGTATATTTATGAAAGCATTTTCCTACATACAGTAGAGTGGTTGTATCACACTAAACAAGGCAGAGGACAGAGGGACAGTAACTTATCAATTAACTACGTGGTAGAAAGTCCAAACTACTACAGTCAGCAGTTTGTAAAACCAAAGACACCATTGTTAGGAGATTAGCTCATAGGCAAAAAAGCCAACTGTTTTGTGGTATTGCT